GCCTACGCCTGGCCGTTCTACAAGCCCGTCGACGCCTCGGCCCTGGGACTGCACGACTACCACGAGATCATCAAGTGCCCCATGGACCTCAGCACCATCAAGGTACGGCTGGGGGCTCTGCAGGGAGGGAGGGAAAGGGGTGCTGGGGTACCTCCGGGTGTGTCCTGGAGTCTTCCTCTGGGGAGTGAGAGACAGCTTAGTACCAAGGCATCACTGAAGTGCAGCCCATGACCTGGCCCTGGGAAGGGGGCATCCCAGAAACCTCCGTGCCGTACAGGTATGAGCTGAGGCCTTCCTGGTGCGGGTCTGTAGGAGACAGGTACCCCACTGGGGAGCCTTCGGCATCGCCCCACATCTCCGCCCTGTGGAAGGCAGCGTCACTGGCTCACAGGCGTCCTGTGGCAGCCTGAGACCCTGTCCCTCCTCGGGGGCGGTGGGGGCTGTCCTGCCCCCAGCAGTGCCTAGAAGGCTCTGGCCAGTGGTAACTGCCTGATGAGCTGGTGTGAGCCCCCTTGCTGCAGCCCAGTCTGGGGAGAACCTTGGGGGTGGGGGGTCTGTGCCCCTTCCCTGGTGCAGCCACCCCCGCTCACCCTGTGTTCTCTGCCTGTGGTGCAGCGGAAGATGGAGAACCGGGATTACCACGACGCGCAGGAATTTGCTGCCGACGTCCGGTTAATGTTCTCCAACTGCTACAAGTACAACCCGCCCGACCACGACGTCGTGGCCATGGCTCGAAAGCTGCAGGTGAGTGGGGCAGTGGGGCCAGGTGGCACTTCCCCTCCCCTGCCCCAGGACTCAGTACGCCTTTGTGTCCCCACTGCACCCGCTAACCCTGGCCTCCCTCGTCCTCCCGCAGGACGTGTTCGAGTTCAGCTACGCCAAGATGCCGGACGAGCCCCTGGACACCAACCCGCCGTCGGCCGGGCTGTCTGGAGCCCTCTCGAAATCCTCCTCCGAGGAGTCGTCCAGCGACGACGAGGATGAGGACGAAGATGAGGATGAGGAAGACGAGGAGAGCAGCAGCGAGAGTTCGTCGGAGAGCGAGGAGAGCTCCGACTCGGAGGAGGAGCGCGCCAACCGGCTGGCGGAGCTACAGGAGCAGGTGAGGCCATCGACCCTGAGCATAGGGGTGTGGAGGCAGTGCCTTCTCTTGGGGGGCCAGTGCTTGGCTGGGTCCCTCCACTCAGCACTTAGCTCTTCCGTGGGGTGCTGTCTCCCTGCCTCTGGGACTGCCTCTTGTCCCATAGTTAGCAGTTAGATCCCTCTGCCCCTAGTTGTGTCTTCCTTGCTGTCTCTCGTTTCCATCGCCCTCCTGGCCCCAGGCAGGGCGCTAGCTTCCCTGGTTCCCTGGCTGTGTCCTGGCCCCCTTGCGTGGGGGCCCTGTCTCTGGGCTAGTGCTGAGCTCCCTTCCTCTGCTCCCTGTCATCCCTCTCCAGCTGCAGCTGGTGAGAATTCACGTGTCTCTGGGTCCCCCCTCACTGGTGTCTCTCCCCTCACCTGCGGGCAGTGCATGAGCCGCTGGCCGCCCTGTGCAGGGTTCGGCTTAGCAGCCCCCTCGTGTCTCCGGGTCCCCTCTCACTGGTGTGTCTCTCCCCCCAGCTGCGGGCAGTGCATGAGCCGCTGGCTGCCCTGTGCAGGGTTTGGCTTAGCAGCCCCCTCGTGTCTCTGGGTCCCCCCTCACTGGTGTGTCTCTCCCCCCAGCTGCGGGCAGTGCATGAGCAGCTGGCTGCCCTGTGCAGGGTTCGGCTTAGCAGCCCCCTCGTGTCTCCGGGTCCCCCCTCTCTCTGGTGTGTCTCTCCCCCCACCTGCGGGCAGTGCATGAGCCGCTGGCTGCCCTGTGCAGGGTTCGGCTTAGCAGCCCCCTCATGTCTCCGGGTCCCTTCTCACTGGTGTCTCTTCCCCCACCTGCGGGCAGTGCATGAGCCGCTGGCTGCCCTGTGCAGGGTTTGGCTTAGCAGCCCCCTCGTGTCTCTGGGTCCCCCCTCACTGGTGTGTCTCTCCCTCCAGCTGCGGGCAGTGCATGAGCCGCTGGCTGCCCTGTGCAGGGTTCGGCTTAGCAGCCCCCTCGTGTCTCCGGGTCCCCCCTCTCACTGGTGTGTCTCTCCCCCAGCTGCGGGCAGTGCATGAGCAGTTGGCCGCCCTGTCGCAAGGCCCGGTCTCCAAGCCCAAAAAGAAGCGGGAAAGGAAGGAGAAGAAAAAGAAGAAGAAATCGGAGAAGCACAAGGGCCGGGGAGGCGATGAGGAGGCGCGGGCACGCCAGGCCCAGCTGAAGAAGGCCAAAAAGGCGGGGGGCAGCAGTGGAGGGACCAGCGGGAGCAGCAGCAGCAGCATCACCAAGTGAGCAGGGTGGGGCCCTGGGGGTGGTGGGGATATGTGGAGGTGACAGGGCAGCCCGTGTTCCACCCAGCGGGGGAGTGGCGAGGGCAGCTGCGTGATGACTCTCTTTCCCCGGCGGATCGACCGTGGCGATGACCTTGTGTGAACAAGCCAAAGCATGTCTGACGGCTGCCTGCCCCGACTCCCCGAGATGCCCTTGGCTGGGTGGGGGTACAGGTCCTCACTGGGCTTAGCTGCTCCTGGGACAGCAAGGGTCTGACATCCAGTGGGCAGCTCCTGGGGTTCCCGCACTATGGCTGCAGTGGCTTCCAGGGTCCCCAGGGGCACCTCAGTGTGTGAGCACCTCTCCCATTCCACGTGAATCCCCGTCTTCCTGATGGGTGTGTCTGACAGGGTGTGAGCAAAGGGTCTTGCTCACCTCTCCGCTTCCACCTGCCCCCCAGCCCCACATGAGTTCCACAGCAGATCCCTTGGGTGGTGGGTTGGCTCCTGTGATACCCACAGGAGGTGGATTTGTGGCCATCACGGTGGATTGATTTCAATCAAGAAGCAGAAAATCTGGATTGAAATCCTGTTTTGCCATTGTATTTAGTTCTTTTCCTAAAAAGGGTCATTCTTGTTAGTTGGGAACCATTAAAACATGTTGATTTGCGAAAAAGCTAAGAGGGTGTTGGGAATCATTAAGAAAGGGATAATCAGACAGAAAATATATTGCCGCTATATAAATCCATGGTACGTCCACATCTTGAATACTGCGTGCAGATGTGGTCACCCCATCCCAAACAAGATATATTGGAATTGGAATAGGTTCAGAAAAGGGCAACAAAAATGATGAGGGGTATGGAACAGCTGCCACATGAGGAGAGAGTAAGAAGACGGGCACTTTTCAGCTTGGAAAAGAGACGGCTAAGGGGGGATATGATTGAGGTCTATAAAATCATGACTGGTGTGAAGAAAGTAAATAAAGAAGTGTTATTTGCTCCTTCACATAACACAAGAACTAGGGGTCACTGAATGAAATGAATAGGCAGCTGATTTAAAACAAATAAAAGGAAGTTTTTTTTTTTTTTTTTTTTTT